AGAGAGAGAGAGAGAGAGAGAGAGAGAGAGAGAGAGAGAGAGAGAGAGAGAGAGAGAGACGATAATGAGCGCCCCAGGGAACATGGGGCACGTGAGAGAGTGAGGAACACGAGCAGGACGGGAACGGAGGAAAGGGGGGGGGGGTGACAGCATCGAACAACACTGCTTCGTGATGCGTTATCCCCATCCCGCCACTCGCAGCCCGCCACAGCCTCCTTCGCTCGCTCAGCCTCAGCCTCGCCGCTGCGGCGGGGAGCGCCCGCGGCCGGCGGGGTAGGCCAGCTCGTGTGCACGGCGCTGCGGCGGGCGGCCCGCCCGGCCCCTGCGAGCCCCTGCCCCCCGCCGTGCCCGGTGGTGGTGGCCCTTTGTGGCCACCTGCGTGGGTCCTGCGCCCCTGCGGCCCTGCGGCCCTGCGCCCCTGCGCCCCTGCGGCCCCCTCTGGCCCCTTTGTCAGGGGGATGTATACTCCCTCTTCTGCTTGTTTCGAATTGAAGAATAGAGCACGAGCACGTTCTGCTTCTCGGTGCATTCATGCAACAAAGGCGAATCTAAAAGCGTCCGCTGAACAAAGACGCATCAGAACAAGGTCGTTTAGAACGATGGATCTGCTTTTCGCTGATCTCGGCAATGCTTTGACTGGAAGGCCTCTCACTCTTCTTAGAGCTGTGCATCGTGTTGGGTGTTGGATCTTTTTACGCACGAGATGATGGCAATTAAAATAGCGTTTCGTCCTCGGTTTTGTCGAAAACGGTAAAACTTTTCGTCGAAGAGTGAGAGGCGTCCAAAGTCGTCTTGGTTTGGCGCGTTTGCCCACTGTGCGACACTTCTTTTCGTTACAGTTTTGTGGAAGTTGGACTATTCTATTGTTATTGCTCGTAAGAAACTATACACGCAAACAAGCGCCATGGATCGAATGAATAACAAATTAGGCAGTCACACAGCAATTTGACAAACAATAAAGCAATTCCTGACTTGCAGAGTCAGGAGCTGACCTAAATAATACAATAAAACTACTGCACAAATGTTTGGAGGTGACGCCGAACTCATTACTTTCCTGAAGAAAGTCAAGTTTGAAGGCAAGAGCACGAGCAAGAGACGAGCAAGTTATAATGAGGCTACAGTTCAGTCGCTCTCTCTCTCTCTCTCTCTCTCTCTCTCTCTCTCTCTCTCTCTCTCTCTCTGCTATGACTCGGCTGAACCTGACGCGAGGCCGGGAGAGGGGGAGTGATCCGCCCGAGAGAAGACCAAGTTATGTTGGGCGCACTCCGACTCCCGAGGCTGATGACAACACCGCGGCACGTGTCAACTAGTTACGCGTCGTCTGCATTCCCATAATGACAGCACGGCATGGGCGGGATCAACACATCTCTCACACAGCTTGTGTAGGTAGCGCAACCTAGTTAGGATGAGCGAAGCGATTAGTTGGCCAGCACTTGTTCCAGGAGTGGGAGAGAGAGAGAGAGAGAGAGAGAGAGAGAGAGAGAGAGAGAGAGAAGCGGAGGAGCTGCCACATTTTCTTCTCTTGCTTTTTGCTCTTTGACGTTGACGTCTCACGCTCTTTTGTATCGGACAAGCAAACACTTTTCTACTGTAAGTCACACACATTTCTGTGAATGACATATGGATGTCGCACACTATTCTTTACAGGATGATGACAGGTTTATTTGTCAGCTCCACAGCAAGCGCTCATGTCATGGAGCTCTCCGCTCTGTGCGACTTGCATGGAAGACTTTTGAAACTTGTAAACAAAACAATGAAAGCTCCACAGTGCACATTATATGCTGCAATATCAGCAATCATAGATGATCACTGATTTATCATTGTGCACAGCATGTACACTGATAAATCAGGAATCACTATTGCTC